CCTTCATTCCCCCTACCCCGTCTCTGGAAACCACTGATATGATTTCTGTACCAACAGTTTTGCCTTTTCAAACTGTCTTACAAATGGTCTCAAAAACGTAGCCTTTTGTATCTGGCTTCTTTGACTTAGCACAATGCTTCTCTCTCTCTTTCTCTCTCCCCCTTTCTCCCTCTGTTTCTTTCTTTTTCTCTTTCTCTCTTCCTCACTCTCACTTTCGCTCTGGCCTTCTCTCCTGTCTTTGAGAGGGTCTTACTCACCCAGGCAGAGAGTACAGTGGTGCAGTCATGGCCCACTGCAGCCTCAACCTTCTGGGCTCAAGTGATTCTCGCACTCAACCTCCTGAGTACCTGGGACCACAGGCATGCACTGCCATGCCCGGCTTCTTTTTTGTAGAGGTGGGGGTCTCACTTTGTTGCCCAGGCTGGTCTCAAACTCCTGGGCTCAAATGATCCTCCTGCCTCAGCCTCTCAAAGTCCTGGGATTACAGGTGAGCCATCATGGCTGGCCCTTTTGTTGTTGTTGTTAAGCAATTTTATTTTGAAATAATTTTAGGCTTACAGAAATATTGCAGAAATAGTGCACAGAGTTCACATATACCATTTACCCACTTTCCTCTAATGTTCACATCTTACCTAACTAGAGTGCAATGATCTAAACCAGGACAGGTACTTTACCTCGACATTCACTTGTACAGTACTAGTAACTGATTTATAGGCTTCATTCAGATTTTGCTAGTTGTCTGACTAATGTCCCCTTTCGGGTCTTGAATTCAACCCAGGATCCCATATAGCATTTACTTGTCATGTCTCATTAGGACCTGGGACAGTTCTCCAGTTCTTATCTTTCAGAACTTTGGTACTTTTCTGAAGAGTATTGGCCAGTTTTGCTGTAGAGTGTGTAGAATGCCCCTCAGCTTGAGTTTGGCGTTTTCTCATAACTAAATTGCAGTCACGAATGCCACACAGGTGCTTCCGTGCCCTTCTCTTTGCATCATATGAGGAGGTAGGTGGAGTCGCCGTGTCTTATTACTAGTGACGTTAACTGTGATCATTTGGTTAAGGTGGTAGCTACCAGGTTTTCTACTATAAAGTTTTTATTGCATAACACTTAACAAATTGTTTTTTTGAGATGGAGTTGTGTTCTGTTGCCCAGGCTGGAGTGCTGTGTCACAATCTCTGCTCACTGCAACCTCTGCCTCCTGGGTTCAAGCGATTCTCCTGCCTCAGCCTCCTAAGAACCTGGGATTACAGGCACTCACCATCACACCCGGCTAATTTTTGTATTTTTAGTAGAGATGGGCTTTCACCATGTTGATCAGGCTGGTCTCGAACTCCTGACCTTGTGATCCACCTGCCTCAGCCTCCCAAAGTGCTGGGATTGCAGGCGTGAGCCACAGCACCCAGCCTGCATGACACTTTTAAAGATTCATTCATGCTGTTGAATGTATTAGCACTTTGATCTTATTGCTGAAGAGTCTTCATGGTATGGATAAACCACAATTTGTTTACCCATTTGTAAATTCCTGGACATTTGGTTTGCTTCTAGTCTTGGGCCTGGCACTATCTGATAGGCCTTGGTGTTCTATTGAGCATAAAAACCATGTCACAGAGCACCAGTATCAGACAAGGCCACTCTGTTACCACGATGGGTCAGGACAAGAACAAGGCCACTATGAATCAGGACAGAAACAGGAACATTGTTGAAGCCACAAAAATGACCAGACATCCTCCCATGCTGCTACCATGAGGGACTGCAGCTTCTCAGCCACTCACAGCTTTAGCCTCACTTCATTCCTTCCACCTTTTAGATAAGATCCATTACAGCATCCAATCCAGGTTCCAGGAACCTCTCGCCAACACGGCCTAACCCAAACCCAAATCCTCTAATAAATCCATTCCCGGTTCCCAGCAGATGCTGCAGTTCTTCATGGCGTGTTCTCTCTCTTGCAACTTGAGTACAAGTGTGTTCCTTGGACTGGAAGGCACTGACAGTCCAAACAATATGTAAATACATATATTGAAAATCCTTGCTCAGCTCTAGTCTCCTTACACAGAGTTTCCCACCCTACACTCCATTCTTTATACTAACTTCTTGTGAATTCTGTTGTTTTTTAAAGCAAACGCAAGTAAGTTAAAGTATATTCTTTTATCCCCTTGCCTTTCTCTTACAAAATATAATTGTGGTAAAACACATGTAACAAAATTGAGCATTCTAACCATTATTAAGGGTACAGTTCAGTACATTCACACTGTTGTGCAACTGGTCCCCTCAGCTCATTTCATCTTGTAAAACTAAAGCTCCATGCTCATTGTTTTTAAGTATAGTATGTGTCCTGTAAAATTAACCCTTCGTTAATGTTGAGTTCTATGAGTTTTGAAAGATATGATCATGTAACCACCACCATAATCAAGATAAAGGACAATACTATAGCCTTCCACACACACACACACACACACACAAAAAATTCCTACATGGCTTCCCCCCCCCCCGCACCTTTTATTTTTGTTTTTGAGACGAAGTTTTACTTTTGTTGCTCTGGCAGGAGTGCAATGTCATGATCTTGGCTCACTGCAACCTCCATCTCCCAGGTTCAGGTGATTCTCCTGCCTCAGCCTCCCGAGTAGTTGGGATTACAGGTGCCCACCACCATGCCTGACTAATTTTTATATTTTTAGTAGAGACAGGGTTTCATCATATTGGTCAGACTGGTCTCGAACTCCTGACCTCAGGTGGTCTGCCTGCCTTGGCCTCCCAGAGTGCTGGGATTATAGGCATGAGCCACTGCACCCGGCCCACATGCCCCTTTTTATTCACTCTTCCCCATTCTGCCAGCCACTGTTACATTTCCTGCCCTCATAGTTTTGTTTATTCCAGAACATCCTATAAGTAGAAACATGTACATTCTCCTTTACAGCAGCCATATCGCACATTGTGAATGTGCCATTGTGTACTGATCTCATCCCTGACATTTGGACACTGAGGTTGTTTCTAGTCTTTTGCTGTTAACCACATGGTCTTACCTGTTATCTGTAGGCACATCATTTTGTGTATGTGCAAGCCTAACTGTGGACAAAATTTCCAGATTTAGGATTGCTGGGTCAGAGGGAAAATGTGTAATTTTGATAGTTTGTTCTCCAGAGGGATTATATCATTTGAGAAATGTGTTTTTCATATCCACAGATCGACCCTTCCCCTTCCTCTTCCCCTTTCCCTTCCCCTGCCCCTGCCCCTCCCCCTTCCCATACCCCTGCCCCTGTCCCTGCCCCTTCCCCTACCCCTGCCCCTTTCCCTTCCCTTTTCTTTCCTTTGAGACAGTCTCGCTCTCTCACCCAGGCTGGAGTGCAATGGTGTGATCTCAGTTCACTGCAACCTCCACCTCCCAGTTGAAGCAATTCTCCTGCCTCAGCCTCCCAAGTGGCTGGGATTATAGGCATTCACCACCATGCCTGGCTGATTTTTGTATTTTTAATAGAGAGGGGGTTTCACTATGTTGGCCAGGCTGGTCTCGAACTCTTGACCTCAAGTGATCCACCTGCCTCGGTCTCCCAAAGTGCTGAGATTCCTGGCATGAGCCACTGTGCCTAGCCACTATCCACGGTTCTTTAATCCTCAGTTCTGCCAGCCATTTGGCTCACTAGATAGAAGTCAGCTCTGCCAGTTATCAGTGTCGTTGATCCGAACGTTGTCTTTCTCTGTTTGTTTTCCTTTTATACAATTCCTCAGATATAGACAAAGATTTACCGAATGTGCCTTAAGATCTACAAGTTTCTTTGACACAATGCCATCTTAATACTATTTATTGGCACAATACACTTCTTCCCTTCAGAGTTTAGTTCTCAGTTAGAAATTACATTCTCATAGAAACTGTACTTTGAGCCCGGTGCTGTGGCTCGTGCTTGTAACCCCAGCACTTTGGGAGGGCTAGGTAGGTAGATGGCTTGAGCTCAGGAGATCAAGACCAGCCTGGCCAACATGGTGAAATCTTGTCTCTACCAAAACTACAAAAATTAGCCAGGCATGCTGGCATGTGCCTGTAGTCTCAGCTACTGGGGAGGCTGGGATGGGAGGATCGCTGGAGCCCAGGAAGTCATCAGTAGTGGGCCGGGATCACATCACTGTGCACCACTGCACTCCAGCCTGGGTGACAGAGCAATGTCCTATCCGAATTATAAGAAAGAAACTGTACTTTGACCGCAAGTTCAGAGACTAGTGGTGGTTTTCATACCTTTTTTTTTTTTTGAGACGGAGCTTTTGTTCTTGTCGCCCAGTCTGGAGTGCAGTGGCACAATCTCGGCTCACTGCAACCTCTGCCTCCCGGGTTCAAGCGATTCTCCTGCTTCAGCTTCCCAAGTAGATGGTATTACAGGCATGGCACTGCCACTTCCAGCTAATTTTTTGTATTCAATAGAGATACGGTTTCACCATGTTGATCAGGCTGGTCTCAAACTTCTGACCTCAGGTGATCCACCCACCTCAGCCTCCCAAAGTGTTGGGATTACAGGCGTGAGCCACTGTGCCAGGCCACATACCTTTTGAAAAGCCGCAAGTTTTTCAATGAATTCTCATATCTAACTCTTTCGTGTGCATTTTAGTGGTCCTCAAACTTGAGTAGTTACTAGAAGCACCTGGAAATAGATGATGGGGTCCACCCTCAGCGTTTCTGATTCGGCAAGTCTGGGGTGGAACCAGAGGTTGCATTTCTAACAAGATTTCAGGTGATGCCGATGCTGCTGGTCTAGGGAACACATTTTGAGAAGCACTGCTCCAAGGTACCTCTGCACATCCTGGGAGCATTTGAGAACACAGATGGAAAACAGCCAGTTTTCCATGATTTGTTACTAAAGATTTTTTTTAAAGGATGTTCATGTATGTGTGGCATGTGTGTATAATATACACAGTGTGTTTCTATAATATAGAAAAAATATATTTATAAATATTTCTATATCTAAAAATGTTTGCTGATTGTTTCTATAACATTTGTTTTTGTGATTTTTCTAAAGCCTACCTCAAGCATTAGAACTACAAACAAACCCTGATGCGACCTCTCCAGATTGTCCCAAGTCGATTGATTTCCCAGCTGTACTGTGGCCTGAAGCCTGAAGCCTCCGCACAAAACCGGATTTGCCTGAAAATGGCTCGGCCAAGTTCAAGTAAGTCATTCTTACCCATCGCCTCACCTGCGGCCGAATGTGAAGTACCCAAAAGTCCTACACTTGTATGTCAGTGTCAAATTAGGTGTTGGGCAAGATTTTGGAGAAAGCCACCCTGTCCTCTTCTCTTTTAGGGCACCCCTTCTAGGGCGCCTTCAGAGCCGGTCTTCTTAATACTCACATTAAGTCCATGGAGAACATTTTGTTGCTTCTGCCAGAATATTTGCATTTAAGCTTTTGACACATGTTTTGTACTTTAAAGTCCTTATCTCTCTGCAGGGGAGGAAAATTGGTGATTGTCCTATAGGGCCGTGTGAGATTAAATTTTCTCCTGGACAGAAATATTTTGTAGCTCTCCCTGGGAGAAACCTCCAGATTAACCTATCTGCACCCCGAGTCTACAAGAATATAAAGTCTCACAAATGTTTATAATTCGGCGATTCTTAGGTGGGCCTGTTGAACAATGCTTCAGAATGAAACTGAAAGGCCAAGCTGAATTCTTTTTGCTTCCTTTTCAACTTTTGGATAACTTTTCTGCTCAGGATTAATAACTCCTGCTTCCATTTTGCCCCAGGAGTGGAAAAGAACCGAAAGATCCCGTTCCACTGCACCTCCATTCTAGCAGGGTGCTAGCGTCTGTGGTGGGGTGCAGAAGCGTGTGCCTGACCTCGGCTAAAAGTGGGCCGCTGACATTTGAAACCACAGAACATGCTGGCGTATTTTCCTTTAGCCATTGGGAAATATCTTTTTCTTTTTAAGATTTTATACCACGTTAACATTACTGTATTTTACATCCTGTTTTCTAAGAACGAAACATAGGTTGACTCTTAACATTTGTTTCTAAAAGTAACTTTAAGGGGTACCTTGATAGAAGTCACTCTGGCCAGCCTGACCAACGTGGAGAAACTCTGTCTCTACTAAAAATACAAAATTAGGCAGGCATGGTGGCACATGCCTGTGATCCCAGCCTTTCGGGAAGCTGAGGCAGCAGAATCGCCTGAACCCAGGAGGCAGAGGTTATGGTGAGCTGAGATTGCGCCATTGCACTCCACACAGCACCAAGAGCAAAACTCTGTCTTAAAAGAAGTCACTCTGACCTAGAAATATATTCATCAGGAGGATGACAGTTTCTATTTGGGATAGAAAGGACCTTTAGGACTAGAGGGAGTTTTAGGGGTAGATTTTGAAGTCCTTAAGGATGTTCCTATGGGTTGAACCTAGGAAAGTATGTTATGTTTTTTATTAAGCATCTTGTTCTTTCAAGAGATTATATCAGATTAGAAACTGGAATCCACCAGGTCAAGTTTGTAATTTTTCCAAATGCTTCCCGTCTGGACAACATTAGTCTGCCTGTCGTAGGCCTTATCTGTCTGCTGATAGGTAACACGCTACTCGGGAAGGGATGTGAGTTCAGGTAGGGCTTTAGCATGATTGCCGGGGTAGTTGGGTTCGTCACACCTCATGAGAATGGCGTGTTGTGACTGTCCTAATTTGTCTCTGCCTTGTGCTGCCAAAACATGAATGGAGCCCAAGAGGAAAAAGCCTACTCTTCCTCTGAGTTCATTTTTACCAGGAGTCCATGGTAGGGAAGAGAATAAGGAAAGGGGAGGAAGGGCTGAGCCCTTATTAACAGTCTCTATCCTGAGCTGGGCAGAGTGTGTGGGTCTGGGCTTCGAAGGACCAGGAAGTCCCATCCCTGCTTAGAGGGACTCAACCATACGTGAAAACCAGTAGGATGCCCCTTATGGCTGGGATACAAAATGAGGCCACGTTCCCTTTAATTTTCAAGTTCACTGTCTCCAAGCCCCTATCCCACTATCTTCCTTCTAGCAGGCTTCCTGCCTGTCACTGGTTCCATCTTTCAGGGGAGGGGTAGCGTCCCCTCATTCGTTCAGTACAAGGGGTAGCCTTGGTTGCCATTCTTTCAAGAGAGGAAGGCCAGGAAGCCAGCTTAGTCAACCGAGAAATGCAGTTCCATGTTTGCTGGAACCCTTAGTGCTTCAACACAGCTTGGCCGTCCTTGGAAGATCTCCATATCCAGGGCGGGGCATTCCCTGCTTCAGTGTCTTGGGACTGCAGCAGGCAATGAGGTACAGCACTCATTTCTCCAGGGGTAGGGCAGAAAAGGGGCTCTCTCTTCTCCTGGCAGCTTATGTTCAGTGCTATACCCCTTAATTCTGGCTTTCCAGGGCCATAGTGCTTATCTAACTTACAAGGGCCTGCAGAGCTGTAGTGTCTGGGAGAAAAGGGGAGACAAGCTGTGTCCCAGCCTTTTCCCAGTTTCTGCTGCCCAATAGAAACAGTAGCAGCTCCCCCATCCTGAGTTCAAGTCTGGCTCCTGCTTCTTCTTTTGGCATGAGGAGAGTTGTTTCAGGGAAAACATCCCAGCTTGTGATCCATGTAAAGTGTTTGGCATAGCACTTGGGGTGCAGGGAGCCCTTGCCATCGTAGCTGCTGCCCCTGTGTGTCTGTGTTCAGGCAGGAGGCTGCCTGGAGTTCTAGGACAGGAGGGTGAGCCCTGGTCTGTATCCACAGTTACTTCCTCTAGTGTTACTCTCTGTGCTCAGTTCCCTTTGCTCAGTTCCCAAGTCTCTGGCAGTGTCCTGTTGAAAAGTTTGGCTCTTATTTGAGTTGTCAAGAAGATCATGTGTCCTCAAATAAGGCCCTTGTCCTCTCCTTCAGTCGCTGTGCTGAGGGAAGCTGAAAGTAGCAAGATCCCCAAAGGGAAGGTGAATTTAGGGAGGAAGGGTAGGCTTTGGGGTACAGTGGGCCTCAACTCAGCACTCACACAAACATACAGGCCTGTTTTTACTTTTATGAAGGAAGATGGATTCCTTCCCACTAGGCTTTTTTTTTTTTTTTTTAATGGAGTCTCGCTCTGTCGCCCAGGTTGGAATGCAGTGGCACAGTCTTGGCTCACTGCAACCTCCGCCTCCTTGGTTCAAGCTATTCTCCTGCCTCAGCCTTCCAAGTAGCTGGGATTACAGGTGCCCACCACCATGCCCAGCTAATTTTTGCGTTTTTAGTAGAGATGGGGTTTCATCATGTTGGCCAGGCTGGTCTCAAACTCCTGACCTTGTGATCCACCTGCCTCTCCCTCCCAAAGTGCTGGGATTACAGGTGTGAGCCACCATGCCCAGCTTCTACTAGGCTTTTTTTAATCTTTGTAAAATCCCTGCTCTAGGGAACGCACTACTATGCACCTCAAAGAGCCAAAGAAACTGAGAATGGAAAAAGCTAAGTAATTTGCATAAGATCACACATTTAGTTGGGAGGCTGAACTGAGATGCAAAGCCAGCTTTGTGTGCCCAAAGCCTCTGCTTCTTTAAAATATTGTACACTCACCCAGCAGGCCTTCATAGGATGGTGTCTTTATGGTACAGGAATTGATGTTTGTTTATCCTAAAGTATGATTTCACACTGGGTCAAGTTTCAAGATATAGACAATTGATATGGGATACATATGTGCAAATGGTACACTGGACTGATGAAGATTTTATTCTGTTTAGGTATGGCAGATTTTCGGAAGTGTTTTGCAAAATCAAAGCACATAGTCATCATCTCAGGGGCCGGTGTTAGTGTGGAAAGTGGCGTTCCGACTTTCAGAGGAGCTGGAGGTTATTGGAGAAAATGGCAAGCCCAGGTTTGTAATGTTTCCAGAACACTGAAAGCCTCTCTCTGATGAAACTGTAACAGTGTTTGACTCAGATCCTATACCGAGCCCTGAAACCTGGGGAAATGTTTTGGAAGTTAACTATGACCCTATTGTCCCATTGCTTTTGGCATAAACACAAAGTTCCTGTGATTAAGATAAAATTTAAGTAAGGCTGCTACTCTCCTTTTTAGATATGTATAGATTGCATTAATTCAGATATCAGTTTCTCCTAATAGTTGTGTTAAAGTGAAATCGGAAAACCACGGTTAGCATCTTTCATTACTTTCCTAAAGTTACTGCACTTATCGTATGACAAAATTAAAACTAATGTTGATTATTGAAAGATTAGGGTTCGATATTCAAAAATCTATAGGAAAGCCTTCAGAATGTAAGCTCTGTGATGGTGTGGATTTTTTAAATTCAATTTTTTTAGATCTAATATACATAAAGTAAAAGTCACCAATTTTAAGTGTACAATTTAGTAAGTTTTAACAAATGGACATAGTTGTATAGCCAGCACCATAATCAGAATGTAGAACATTTCTATCCCTCCAGAACATTCCCTCATGGCCCTTTGTAGTCTGTGCTCTCCCATCCCACTGGCTCAGGAAATCCTAGTTTTGGAGGACAAGGAATTGTTTATTTGTTCGTTTCTGAGATGGAGTTTTGCTTGTTGCCCAGGCTGGAGTACAGTGGCATGATCTCAGCTCACTACAATCTCCACCTCCCAGGTTCAAGTGATTCTCCTGCCTCAGCCTCCCTAGTAGCTGGGGTTACAGGCATGCACTGCCACACTCCACTAATTTTTGTATTTTTAGTAGAGATGGGGTTTCACCACATTGGCCAGGCTGGTCTCGAACTCCTGACCTTAGGTGATCTGCCTGCTCGGGCTCCCAAAGTGCTGGGATTACAGGCGTGAGCCACCATACCAGGCCTCTGTTTGTTTTATTCATTGCACTGTCTCCAGTTTCCAGAACTCTGGCACATTATAGGTGCTTAATAGGTTTTCGTTGGTTGAATGAAAGCAGGAATAAATAAATGTCTTCCAGGGTTAGTAGCTTATTTCTCACTGAATGCAGAGTTCATGAACCTGCCCCTTCCTTCTTCTGAACAGCCGAGGCTGGCAGGTGTTTGGGTGTTTTGCCTCCTGCCTTCTGCCCTCTAGGTGAAGGGTGGGGGTTGTTACCTTAAAGGTGAAGTGGGGGAGAAAAGAGAGCAGAGAACTTTAGGGGCCAGCAAGAAAGAGGAACCACAGGGAAGTCCCTTGATTAGCAGCAGAGGGTGGGAGGTCAGAGGGTGTGGGAGGAGCTTGGAAGAGGGGCGCTTAGTTGTGTCCAAAAAAGCTCAGAGTTTGTGGGCAAAGCATAGAAGTAGACAGAATGTATTTGACTCCAACCTCCTTCCAAGGACACCTGTGGACATGTTCGTGTGCCACCTATAAACTACTCCAGGCTGTGTGTTCTGCATGGAGAGCAAGCCCCTCATGTGGCAAAGGCTGACATTGCCTCCAAGCAGAGGGGCCTTTACAGTAGAATGAAATGCACACGTGTTCAGTGTAGGAAGCGTCTCCTTGATAGAGAAGCCATGCTTCTTTTAAAAATTATTATTGAGGCAGAATTTCCTTAGAATAAAATGCACCTGTGTGCATTGTGTTTGATGAGTTTTGACAGGTGCATGCACTCATATAACACCCCACCTCCACTGTCAAGAAACAACGTTTCAGTCCTTGCTGCAAGTTCCCTATGCCTTTCCCTGCCAGCTCCCAGCTCAACCTCTACTCGGCTCCTTTTTGAGAAAGGAGGTTTGTCTCTCCTAGAACCATATCTGAAGTATATGTATTTTATCTGTTCTGTTTATATATAATATACACTTTTTATGTGTAGTTGTGTGTGTGTTTAGTTGTGTGTATAGTTGCATGTATGTGTAGTTGTGTATGCATGTAGATGTGTGTAGTTGTGTATGTATTAACAGATATATGTAGCTGTGTATGTTTAGTTGTATGTTGTGTAATTGTGTGTTTAGATGTATCTGTCTAGTTGTATGTGCACTTGTTTGTGTAGATGTATATAGTTTTGTGTATGTTTAGTTGTGTGTGTTTAGTTGTATGTGTACACTTATTTGTGTATGTAGATGTATAGTTGTGTGTGTATGTTTAGTTGTGTGTGCAGTTGTGTGTATGTAGATTTTTGTAGTTGTGTTTACATTTAGTTGTGTGTGTGCAGTTGTGTGTATGTAGATTTTTGTAGTTGTGTTTACATTTAGTTGTGTGTGTGCAGTTGTATGTAGATGTATGTGTGTTTAGTTGTGTGTGTGCAGTTGTGTGTGTATGTAGATGTGTAGTGTGTGTAGCTGAGTGTATGTTTAGTTGTGTGTATGTGTGTATAGTTGTGTGTGTAGCTGTGTGTATGTTTAGTTGTGTGTATGTGTGTATAGTTGTGTGTGTAGCTGTGTGTATGTTTAGTTGTGTGTATGTAGTATGTATGTGTGTAGCTGTGTATGTTTAGTTTGTGTAGTTGTGTGCGTGCAGTTGTGTGTGTATATAGAGGTGTTTAGCTGTGTGTCTGCAGTGTATATGTAGATGTGTGTAGTTTTATGTGTGTTTAGTTTCTGTCGTATGTTTAGTTGCTTGCATGTGCATATAGTTTATATGTGTGTAGTTGTGTGTATGTGTTTAGTATGTGTGTATGTGTAGTTGTATATAGTTGTGTGTGCAGCTGTGTGTAGTTTGTGTAGTTGTATATGTGTGTTTAGCTGTGTGTGTGCAATGTATATGTAGATGTGTATAGTTTGTGTTTAGTTTGTGTATGTAGTTGTGTGTATGTGTGTAGTGTGTGTAGTGTGCAGTTGTGTTTGTAGATGTGTGTAGTCATGTGTATTTAGCTGTGTGTGTGCAGTGTATATGTAGATGTGTTTAGTTTGTGTGTTTAGTTTATGTGTGTAGTTATGTATATGTTTAGTCGTGTGTATGTCTAGTTGTATGTGTATGCAGTTGTGTGTGTATGTAGATATGTGTAGTTATGTGTATGTTGTATGCATGTTTAGTTGTGTGTGTAGTGTGTATGTTGAGATGTGTCTAGTTGTATGTTGTGTGTAGTTTGTATGTTGAGTTGTGTATGTGTAGTTGTGTATATGTAAGTTGAGTTGTATGTAGTTGTGCGTATGTATGTTGAGTTGTGTGTGTAGTTGTGTGTATGTATAGTTGTATATGTGTAGTTGTGCATGTCGTTGTGTGTATGTATGTTTAGTCGTGTGTATAGTTGCATGTGTATAGATGTGTGTAGTTGTGTGTGTGTGTAGAGCCATAGCTATAGTTATAAAAACTGAGTTTCTCAACCATGGTCATTAGACCTCAATGGGCATTTTGCATTTTATGTTTTTCCTGGGTATAGGTCAAAATGAGATCCACTTCATATTTTAGAGCTCCATGAAAAAGGCGATTTGACCCAAAATACCTTCCTGCATGTTACTTTACTTCATGTTCACAACTTACTTGGTGTGGGGGAATGGGATAGGTTGCATTCTTCCTGCCTTGTCACTAAGGAAACTGATTTCTCCAAGGTCCCAGGGCAGTCCCAGGATGGGGACATAGGCTGGTACCCAGGCCCTGCCACGTGGCATATGCCATGTTGTTTGAACCTAGTGCTTCGACCTCCAGCCTGCACCCTCCCAATGCTGCTTGTTTCTGCCTTAGGGAGGAAAGGCCTGTGCCCAGGGTTCAGCATCCTGGCTGCCTCTGCCTCCCTCACTCCTATCTCCTCTCCCACTCCCAGGACCTGGCGACTCCCCTGGCCTTTTCCCACAACCCGTCCCGGGTGTGGGAGTTCTACCACTACCGGCGGGAGGTCATGGTGAGCAAGGAGCCCAACGCCGGGCACCGTGCCATAGCAGAGTGTGAGGCCCGGCTGGGCAAGCAGGGCCGGCGAGTCATGGTCATCACCCAGAACATCGATGAACTGCACCGCAAGGCTGGCACCAAAAACCTTCTGGAGATCCATGGTGAGGTACCCCCCGCCTCATGTTCAGGGAACCAGCTTTAGAACACCTATCCTGCCATTTCAGCATCACCTCTGTTGGCCTCCCTCCCTCCTTGCTGGACACCCATCTCGTCCTTTAGGATGCTGTGGCATTTCCTTCCGGGACATGTTAGTGCCCTGTGGCACCTGGGCAGCTGCCTTTGGCCATGGGAGGAGCCCTGACCCACTGACATTATTCACTTGGCAGTTCCTACATCCTCACTGCTCAGTGTGGTCTGAGAGCCAGCAACGTTTGGCATCCCCTGAGAGCTTGTTAGAAATGCAGAATCTCAGGCCCCATCGGACCCACAAAATCAGAATCTGCATTTTCCCATGAGCCCAGGTGGCCGAAGTGCCTTTTACACTGGAGGAACGCTGGGCTGCACAGCTGTGTGACCCCTGCCTCTGTAGAGGGGTGCAGTGCTGTGAGACAATGGCCTCACTGAGCCGAGGAACAGAAGGCCTGGCCCATTGGACAGGCAGGGCTTGAGCAGGATCAGGCAGGGGCAGGCTATGGCATCTGGGGGTCTCCTCTCCCTCTCTGTTTGCCCCGGTGGACACTCCCCACTGAGACTGTGCTTCTGCCTCGGCCTGGAACCTCAGGGAGCTGCCAGCTCAGTACCAGGTACTGCACCAACCCCACCTAGCCTGTGATGTCAGTGGAGTTTGTCTTGGGTCCCTGTGGCCTCCTTCCTCTGTCCTGGGTGGCCCCTCACCTCTTCACTCTGTCTTTTGGCTCCTCCCTTCTTTGCTGTCACCCTAAATCTAATACATCCATTCTTCCACGGTCATAATGGGCAAACTAGGGTTTCTCCCAAAGCCACTTGCATTTAAAGAGTCTGCATTCAAATCCAAGGAATGCATTTCTTATATTTTAAGAATTTATTTCTCTTAATTTTTTTTTGAGATGGGGGTTTCATTCTTGCCCAGGCTGGGGTGCAGTAGCCTGATCATAGCTCATTGCTGCCTTGAACTCATGGTCTCAAGGGATCCTCCCACCTCAGCCTCCAGAGTAGCTGGGACCACAGGCCCATGCCACTATGCCCAGCTAATTAAAAAAATTTTTTTTGTAGAATGGTGTCTCACCATATTGTCCAGACTGGTCTTGAATTCTTGGCCTCAAGTAATCCTCCGTCCTCAGCCTCCTGAAGTTTTGGGATTATAGGCGTGAGCCACTGCGCCAGCCAAGAATGCATTTCTAAGTGTAGAATTTCCAGAGGCAGGGCACCAGTGGGGGTGTTTGATTTTGGGTGTGTGTGGTGAAGCTACCTCCTTTTACTTAGGTCACCCTGATAAAGACAGGGAGACACTACTCACTTCGACCCTGTTTCTCTTTTGTGTGCCTGGAACAGTCAGCCACCTATTAACCGAACAACTTTTCGGTACCTGCATCTGCTGGGTCTGAGCCGCTTTCCACATGCCTCTGCTCATTTCCCTGCAATGTCAGAATGTGGGCTAGTCATCGGCATAAAATGGAGATGACAATGCCTATTTTACAGAATCGTTGTGAAGGTTAAATAAGATCATACATATATATGTGTTAGGACTTTTTTTTTTTAGTTTCAAAAGATGAGAACTCTCTTCCAACCTAGGTTAAAAAAAAATCAGTGGCATCTTCTGTCTGATGAAGGTTTTTTTTTAAGATGCATCATGTTTTTAATGTGGCACTTAGAATATAATCTGCCTAAACCATGATATACTGTTATTATTCCTTAGAATTGTTATTTTATACTTAGAGAAAGAGCTTATTAAAACTGAGACACCTTCTTTAGAAATTTTATCTTTCCAGGCATACATAAAGCATGAGCATGGTCCAAATATTTCTCATTATCTAGCTCTTCTGAGTGATTCTGAGTGACTCAGAGCATGGATGGGTCTGTGTTTTCCATGCAGTTTCACGCTCTGTACCTCAGGAGATGGATGATGCAGCCTTTCTTGAGAGAATGCCCCTCTGTTACAGCTGGGATTCTCATCCAAGCTTCTGACACACACTCCACAGGTGCGCTATTGAGCCTTTCATGCTCTTACCAAACGGTGTCAGTGGAAAGGCTGTAGACACAGCCAGAACTTGCTTTCCTCCCGGAAGTGGCCCTTGAATGGTTTGTTGGTGGAAGTATCCAGAGGTTGTATCTGCCCGGTCAGGCCACGGAGAATAACAACCAAGTCACCCCACTTTTCAGTGTTCTCCTTCAACAAGTCTGTGCAAGCATGTTGGTGAGGTCACACTCTCATCTGGCCAGTAAACGGTAGGACATCTGAATTTCAGAGATGTGAAAATGGGAAAAAAATGTCCACAGTAAAACTGACAAAATAGGTTTATTGGCTCACAAAACTGAGGGGCCTTGGGGTGCAGCTGATGTCATCTTTTCTTCTGGCCTCTTTCCCACTCCTTCTCTCAGCTTTGCTCTCTCTTTGAGGTGACCTCCCTTTTCCCTCTGCAACTGATTTGCCTCCACGTGCCAGGGGAGAGGGCCTCTGGTTTCAGGCTCTCCAGCTCAGCCAACTGCTCAGAAAATAAACCTCTGGGTGGGCTTTCTTGGTCCGCACACCCACCCTTCTGACCAAATGAGACTGCAAAGGGATGGCCACCACATGGGACCTGTGTGGAGCATGTGGTCAAGCTTGTATTTGGGATGTGACCCACAGCCCGATTGGCTCAGCATGGGAGAGAGCAGGGATGGTACTCCCCAAGGAAGGACTGGTGGGCAGAACAGAGCAGTGCATGCCCTCTGTGGTTTAAAGTGCTCTGCATGGCACCCGGTGCCTGGCCACCATTTCACAAACTGTGGCCACCATGATAGCTTCAGTTCAATAAGTGGTGGCTAGTATTAACAATTACTTTTTTCATTTATTAGTTGATTACTTATTTATTGATCTGCTTTTGTATAAAAGATTCAGGCTTTCTGAAATCAAAGTTAAGATTTTGTAAACATACCCCACACCATTGAAACTTTATCAGTCATATCAGTAAATTATGCCCTTAGATTTAGGTCAAGCTCCCTCTACCCTGTTGGCCACTTCTGCCCACTTGAACGCCACTCCAAGGTCATCCGGCCGCACATTAGTCAGGGAGATAGCTATTTATCCTCCAGATTATAAAGTCCTTGAGGGCATATGCTCTTGACTGGCTTAAGAGTACTGCATGCCTCTCTGTTTCCCGTGAAAGCTAGGGGAGGCCCATTTGCTAAACTGAAGTATGTCTCAGTGGGGCAGTGCACACCTATAGTCCCAGCTACTCAGGAGGCAAGGTGGGAGGATTGCTTGAGCCCAGGAGCTGGAAGCTGCAGTGAGCTGTGATCGTACTACTACACTCCAGCCTGGGTAACTGGATAAGACCAAAAATGAAATAAAGTATGTCCCTTTTAGACACGGAGACAGTTGCTCTTGATTATCCTAAATTCTGGACTTGCTTCATATGTATTTTTCAGGTAGCTTATTTAAAACTCGATGTACCTCTTGTGGAGTTGTGGCTGAGAATTACAGGAGTCCAATTTGTCCAGCTTTATCAGGAAGAGGGTAATTATACCACACTATAGAATAAGTATATGTTGTTTTCTCCTTTAGGTTGAATATAAATGTGAGGAAATTGAACATTTACCAAAGATTCCCATGGGTATTTATGAGAAATAAGACTAAATACAAGGCTGGATGCAGTGGCTTATGCCTGTAATCCCAGAACTTTGGGAGGCCAAGGTGTGAGGATTGCTTGAGTTCAGGAGTTCAGGACCAGCCTGGGCAACATAGTGAGACACCTGTCTCTACCAAAAAAAAAAAAAAAAAAATACAAAAATTAACTGGGTGTGGTGGCACATGCCTGTAGTCCCAGCTACTAAGGAAGCTGAGGTGGTTGGGTTATTTGAGCCTGGGAAGTTGAGGCTGCAGTGAGCCGAGATCTTGCCACTGGACTACAGCCTGGGTGACAGAGGGAGACCCTGTCTCAAAAAACAAAAAACAAAAAAGACTAAATATAGCCATGTGATAAAAGAAATATTTTGCTCACAACTTACAGTGTTAAGTGAAAACCACAGGGTCCTGAACTTGTATAATATGATCCTAGCTTTGTATTAAAACACACACACACATACACACACACACACACACACTCTCTCTCTCTCTCTCTCTCTCTTTCTCTCACACATACACACAATGAGTTTGTATATGTGTATATAGTTAAAATACAACAAAATGTTAATAAGGAATATCAGGAGTGGTGGGATTATGGGTAATTTTTAATTTCTTTATATTTTTCTGAATTTTCTTACATTTCTATGATGAACATGTGCTATTATTACAATGAGGAAAAAAATTGAGGGTAGACCCAATATTGAGAAAATTCCACTGAGTCATTTTAAAATAGTGTAAACTGTGTATGACTGTATGATGTGATTGAGGATACAAACGATGGTGATGTGTGAAGGTCAACGTGAAGCTCCCTGAGTACACCCAGCCACTCTAGCCCTCCCCACACATGCATTCCCTCACTTGCAGGACAACCACTGGTGATTTTTTTTTTTTTCTGACTCTTGCTCTGTTTCCCAGGCTAGAATACAGTGGTACAATCACAGCTTACTGCAGCCTCTACCTCGTGGGCTCAAGCAATCCTCCTGCCTTAGCCTCCCAAGTAGCTGGGACTACAGGCACGCACCACCACACTGAGCCAATTTTTGTATTTCTGGTAGAGACGGAGTCTCACTATGTTGCCCAGGCTGGTCTTGAACTTCTGGCCTCAAGCAGTCTTCCCACTTTAGCCTCCTAAAGTGCTGGGATTCTAGGCATGAGCCTCTATGCCCAGCACCACTGGAAATTAATGGCTTGGGGACCTTCCTTCTAATGTCCTTCCAAGTGAGCATGTATTACTTAGGAGTTTTATATCACATATTGCCAGGCAAATATACAAACTGAGTTACTTTATTTCTTTATTTTTTGATTATGCCAATAACAATCTTTCTTGTCTAATATGATTTACTTCAGTGCTCCAGAACCTGGAACTCAAGATGCCAACATCCCAGTTGAGAAACTTCCCCGGTAGGTAAAAAACTCTGATTTGTACTAGTGTTCCAGGTTACAAAAAAAAATAGACATCGAAACCTAAACATGCATTTGGCAAGATGCCTCCTAAACCAAGTGCACAGACGTAAAAACTAGCCTTGACCTCTGAGACCAAAAGTGAAAGCGCAAAGGATGAACCAAGTCAGGATGAAAAGAATGATTTCTCTCCAACCCCTTTTTGCTTTGTGTTCTGGCGGGTTCATTTGAGGTCGGGGAAGTTTCTGAAGCTGTTGTGCGACAGCTGGTTAAGCAGTGCACAGAAAGCACAGGCGCTGACCTGTGCCTGGTCAAGTAACATCACTGGCACGATTAAGCCAAAGGACCTGAATAGGAGACGTTACAGGACTAGACAGAATGTTCGTAGATTAAAATAAAAAAAGGAAGATTTTTATGCCAATTTTTCAAAACCAGACATTAAAACAGCACTTCCATAATCTATAATTGGATTAGAGGGTTTTTTTTTTTTTTTTTTTTGAGATAGAGTTTTTGCTCTTGTTACCCAGGCTGGAGTGCAATGGCGCGATCTCGGCTCACCGCAACTTCTGCGTCCTGGGTTCAGGCAATTCTCCTGCCTCAGCCTCCTGAGTAGTGGGGATTACAGGCACGCGCCACCATGCCCAGCTAATTTTTTTGTATTTTTAGTAGAGGCGGGGTTTCACCATGTTGACCAGGATGGTCTCGATCTCTCGACCTCGTGATCCACCCGCCTCAGCCTCCCAAAGTGCTAGAGGTTTTTTTTTTTTTTTTTGAGATGAAGTCTCACTCTGTCCCCCAGGCTGGAGTGCAGTGGTACGATATTGTCTCACTGCAACCTCCACCTCCTGGGTTCAAGCGATTCTCCTGCCTCAGCCTCCTGAGTAGCTGGGATTACAGGGGCACCCCACCATGCCCGGCTTATTTTTGTGTTTTTAAGTAGAGACGAGGTTTCACCATGTTGGCCAGGCTGGTCTCAAGCCCTTGACCTCAGGTGATCTGCCCACCTCAGCCTCCCAAAGTGCTGGGATTATAGGTGTGAGCTACCACACCTGGCCGGAGTAGAGTTTTGTTTTTTAAAGTAAAATAAAACAGCACTTCTAAAAATATTCCATAGAACATTAATTTAATGTGACATTGATGGACATTACTTGAAAAAAACATGTTAGGCACTCAAATAAATATGGAAATATTAGACTAAACCAAGTTAAAATAGGTTTGCTTTGCTGCAGGACTTTTCAGAGCATTTAATCCACATCGCTGCCTTCTAAAAAGTGGTTATAATGTGTATGTTAATACTTTACTGGCTTTTTTAACCACAGAACCTTTCTTATTTTCCTTATGAGGGGTTTCATTGCCAAAGTTTAAAGTTTTCTTCTGAAGAAATAGGGAGATCTGGAGGATTCCTCTGATGTAGGAGATGACTATGATGAAAATGGTCTTTGGGAGGATGATTTTAGGTGTATAAAACGTGACCCCAAGGTACGAGGGAGTGAAAGATGAGAGATTTTGGTAATGGACACAGGAGAGCTGGCTACATACTGGGCCAGAGACGTGAACCTGAGACAACATGAAAGGAGGTCATTGATGAAATCGGGGATGCTTGGGGTCCAAGGCAGATCTGAGTCCAGTGTGACTCCCAGGTCTAGGGAGCTGTGAGCACAAGTGTGAGCATATTGAAGGAGAGCTTAGCTGAAACAGTGTGTCAGCGCTTTAAGTATAAACAGATAAGATAAAAAATAAGGCCAGTTTAACCTGAAGCTTCATATACAAGGCAAGTTTATATAGGCTGGGAGGGAGGGCATAGGGAATAAGAGGCATTAGAGGTGACCCATCTGGACATACTAGGTTTCGGGCAGCCCCTGGCCTCCCTCAAATCCAGCTGGGCAGACTCAGCTCAGCGTTGGCTGAAGGATCCCATTTTTCCAGGTGTGAAGAGGCAGACTGCGGGGGCTTGCTACGACCTCACGTCGTGTGGTTTGGAGAAAACCTGGATCCTGCCATTCTGGAGGAGGTTGATGGAGAGCTCGCACACTGTGACTTATGTCTAGTGGTGGGTCATGTCCTTCCCTAACCCCAAGACGGGACTGGAGTTTGTTGTTATTTTTCCTTTCCCCTCTCCTCTTTTTCTTCCTCCCTCCCTTGCTTCTTTTCTTCCTACCTCCTCTCCTTTCTCCCTTTCCTCCTTTCCTTAAAATGTATGTTGAGAAGTTTTTGTGGTATCATATAAAAAAACTGAGAAACAATGAATGATAATTTCTATTAAAATAGGAAACTATGGGCCAGGCATGGTGGCTCATACCTGTAATCCCAGCATTTTGGGAGGCTGAGGCAGGTGGCTCATTGGAAGTCAGGCATTCGAGACCAACCTGGCCAATATGGTGAAACCCCATCTCTATTAAAAATACAAAAAAATGAGCCAGACGTGGTGGCACATGCCTGTAATCCCAGCTATTTGGGAGGCTGAGGTGGGAGTATTGCTTGAACCCAGGAGGCAGAGGTTGCAGTGAGCCGAGATTGAATCACTGTACTCCAGCCTGGGCGACAGAGGGAGACTCCATCTCAAAAATAAATAAATAAAGTAGGAAACTATGCAAGACCATGTCTTGGGCATCTCAAAGCCTCCCCCAGCTCTGCCAAAAAAAGAGAAAAGAACATGCTGTTGGTTTTTAAAATAATATATGCTCATGATTAAATTTAATTGAGAATATGCAAAAAAGTATCACATTATAAAGAGGAAATTTCCCATATTTCTGAAATCGCCCACAATTCTGCTATCTAGAAATAGTTACTGTTAGCAGTTGAGTATGTTTTCTTCTAGACCAGGGGTGAGCAAACAGCAGCCTTTCGGTCAAATTGGGTCTGTTACTTGTTTTTGTAAATAAAGCTTTATTAGAACTCAGCCACGCTCATTCCTCTGCACAACTGTCTATGACTACTTTCAAACTACAGTGGCAGAGTTGAGTACTTGTGACAGAGACTGAATGGCCTGCAAAGTCTGAAAAATTTACTGTATGGTCCTTTTCAGAATAAGTTTGCCCACCTCTGGACTAAACCTTTTCTTATGCAGATGTACACGTATTAATGAAAATTCAAAACCAAATTCATGACCTGAGTTCTATTTGGAAATGAGTCACCCAGCAGTTCACTTAGCATATTCCATGTCAGTACATCCAAATCAATATCATCTTTCAGTTGACTGCATGATGTTTTATATGGATTAGGAATGATATATTTAGCTAATTCTCTATTGCAAGCCATTGGGGCTATTTCAAATTTTGATATTTTAAGCAATGCTATCATGAATATCCTTACATAGAAATCGTAGTGTGCTCTTCAAATGATTTCCTTAGGACACATTTTCTAAAAGTGGGATTAATTGGACAAATTGTATGCATATTTCCAAATTTTCCTGACATGTCTTTAAAAGCAGAGGTACTTTCTTTTGGTGCGTATTCGTTCAGCCGGTATTTAAAGAGTTCTTCCCAGTGTCAGAAGAGTATCACTGTCGATGATGGATTGTTAAATGAGAAAAGCTGGTTTACAAAACAGGTCATGGTCTTCTCCTCCCCGAAAAGAATGTTCATAAGCAAATATTTATAAGAGAAAACCTGAGAAGACATACATGAAAATGTTAACAGTGGTTATCTTGGAGTAAGACTATGGATGACACGTATGTTTTTTCTTCGTATTTTCTACCTTTAACAAAAAAGTAGAAAATATGTTTTAAAGAGTTATGGATCATTTGCATAACTATATTTTATTTATTTATTTATTTTTGAGATGGAGTCTCACGCTCTTACCAGGCTGGAGTGCAGTGGCTCCATCTTGGGTCACTGCAACCTTTGCCTCCCAGGTTCAAGTGATTCTCCTGTCCCGGCCTCCTGAGTAGCTGTGACTACAGGCATGCGCCACCATGCTCAGCTAATTTTTATATTTTTAGTAGAGACAGAGTTTCACCATGTTGGCCAGGATGGTCTCGATCTCTTGACCTTGTGGTCTATCTGCCTGGGCCTCCCAAAGTGCTGGGATTACAGGTGTGAGCCACCACGCCCAGCCTTGCATAACTTTAAAAAGTAGAAACAAAACCAGAATTACCCCCAAAATATGTTGATGGAGTCATTTTTCTGTCACTCTTTTCACAACTCTCCTTTTAATGTCACACGTTCTTATCAATTCTAGTGATTGATCAAAGGACACCTCTTAACTTTCCCTTGTCCTTTGGACACTCTGTTTTATCCCATACTGTATGGCTTTTCTCACACCTGCAACCAAAGACCTGCCTGAGTTTATGTAAAGTTTTCTGAAAAATGTTCCTTCTCCTCGTCATGTGGCCCTTTGTGTATCTCCGTGTGCTTGTCTTGTAGGTGGGCACTTCCTCTGTGGTGTACCCAGCAGCCATGTTTGCTCCCCAGGTGGCTGCGAGGGGCGTGCCAGTGGCTGAATTTAACATGGAGACCACCCCAGCTACGAACAGATTCAGGTACCAGGATACCCTGGTGGGAGAGGGAGATGTGGGAGGCAGGTGCAGACATGCTCCTCTCAACATAGTTGACCGACTCCCCTAATTTTTAAAAAAGACACAGGGTTTGTGTTTTGTTTTTTGATCTGCAATTGCTTTTATGGAAGAACAAAATCATTCATTATAGACTAGGGTGGGTAGCTCCGTCACTGTATGCGAAATTTGCAGTGGGACTTTTGTCTGTTTACGTTTTGAAAACTCTTCTTTGATTGCTTAGGCTCTGCTTTCCCTTACATCTTTAAGCTAGATTTAGTGGCAGTCTTTAGTTGTAAGTTACCCAGATGCTCCACACGTGAGCCTGGGAGATGCCCTTGCAGAACCTCGTCACCTGCCGTCCTCACTGGGAGGCCACCTGGCAGACTCCCCTTTGGTCTAATTGCCAAGGTTATTTGTATCTGTGGCCATACTGTGACACTGATCCTGCTTCCCAGGCTTGGGTGGAAAGTGTGGATCATCATAGCGTGCATTTTTAGTCTTATTCCGGGCTCTGTTTTAGGTCTTCACCCTTGTTGTGTCTTTTTTTTTTTTGAGACAGAGTCTTACTCTGTCATTCCGGCAGGAGTGCAGTGGTGTGATCTTGGCTCACTGCAACCTCTGTCTCCCAGGTTTAAGTGATTCTCCTCAGCCTCCTAAGTAGCTGGGACTATGGGCACTTGCCACCACTCCTGGCTAATTTTTGTATTTTTTTTTAGTAGAGACAGGGTTTCACCATATTGGCTAGGCTGGTCTTGAACTCCTGACCTCATGATCCGCCTGCCTCAGCCTCCCAAAGTGCTGGGATTACAGGTGTGAGCCACCAAGCCCGGCCCCTTGTTCTTTTTTCTCACCCCTACTTTTTTTGCCTTTACTTCTAATTCTTGTCCATCTAGTTAATTACTTTTGAATAAGTTAGAATATCAATAAGTAGTAAATGAATATAAATAAATAAAATAGAAAACTTCATTGAAACATCTTATCATTACTTTAATCAACAGTTTCCAACCTTGGCTGCATTTTTAAAAAAACACTGATGCCTGGGTGCCACCTCATGAAATTTCAGTGTTATTGTTCTGAGTTGCAGCCCAGGCATCATCATTTTGGTAAGTTTCCTAGGTGATTCCAGTGTGCAGCCAGGATAGGAACCACTCTTCAAAGTCTTCGCTGGGATTTAAAAAAAAAGAAAGAAAAAGGGCCACAGACACTTAGGTAGACTCCTCCTCAGGTGAGTGGGCAGGCTCTGAGCCTCTTGTTTTCCATGTGTCTTTTTGATTAGCTACAGCCTGTGTTCTCCATCCACAGTTCTTCATTTGTGCATGAGTAGTAGGAACTAAGAAGATAGCCTTTAAAAAAATTGCCTCCTACACAAAACTTATACTGTGAAAACTACAGAACATTGTTGACAGAAATAAAGGCAGCCTAAATGAATGGAAACATATCCCATGTTCGTGGATTGGACCGCTTAGTATGATTAAGCTGGCTGTGCTCCCCAAATTGATCTATGAGCTCAATTAACTCAGTCCCTATCAAAATCACAGCTGGCTTTTTGCAGCAATTAATTGAAAAGATTAACCTAAAATTCATATGAAAATGCAAGGGACCCAAAATAGCCAAAACAAAATGAAAAATGAAGTTGGAGAATTCATACTTCCCAATTTCAAAACTTACTGCAAAGTCACAGTAATCAAGACAGTGTGGCACTGGCATAGGATAGATATATAGAATCTGTAGAATAGAATTGAGAGTCCAGTAAAAAACAAAACAAAACAATAAAACGGAAGCCCACATATGGTCAATTGATTTTTGAAAAGAGGGTCAAGCCAATTTGATGAAATGCAGTCTTTTTCAAGAAATAGTGCTGGATACCATTATGCAAAAGAATGAGGCTGGACCCTCTGTCACACCATACACAAAACATAACTCAAAATGGATCACAGACTTAAACGTAAGAGCTGAAAGAATAAAATGTCAAAAGAAAATGTAGGAGTAAATCTTTGTAACCTTGGGTTAGTTAAAGCTTTCTTAGATATGATACCAAAAATGCAAGTAACATAAGAAAAATGGATAATTCGGACTTTATCAAAATTTAAAACTTTTATACTCCAGTTGGTATCATCAGTTAAGTAAAAAGACAACCCAGAGAATGGGAGAAAATATTTGTAAGTCTAATATTTGATAAGGGATTTGTATCCAGAATATATAAAGAACTCTTACAACTATAAATAGTAAAAGACAATTCAATTAAAAACCAGGCCAAAATATTTGAAAACACATTTCTCCAAATACATATGCATAGCTATAAGCATATTGAAATGATGGTCAGTATCATTAGGCATTAGATAAATGCAAGTTAGAACCACAGTGAGATACCGCTTCACAGCCACAAGTGTGGCTATGATTTTTAAGATACAGGAAAATCACCAATGTTGGTGACGGGAATGAACAATGGCACGGTCATTTTGGAAAACAGTATGGCAGTTAAATGTAGGGTTACTGTGTGATCTAGCAATTCTCCTTGGTAAAGTCCTAGAAATGAAACCATACATCTACACAAAACTTTGTATACAAATGTTCATAACGTGTTCATGGAAAACGTGGTAACAAAATTTGGTATGTTTGTACGATGGACTAATTTTTAGCCATAAAAAGAATGAGGTACCCATGTATGCTGTGTGGATGACCCTTTAAAACATTATGCTAAGTGAAAGAAGCCAGTCATAAAAGACCACACATGGTATGACTTCATTTGTGCAAAATATCCAGAATAGGCAGATCAATAGAGAGAAGGTAGATGAGTGGTTGTTTTGTCTGGGGGTAGGGAGGAATGGGGAATCGGTGCTAATGCGAACAAGCTTTCTTCTGAGGTTGTTAAAAATGCTCTAAAATTGATTTTGGTTGTATAATTCTGTGAATACACTAACAGCCACTGAATTATATATTTGAAATGAGTGGACTGCATGTGAATCAAATCTCAATAAAGCTATTATATAAAAAATTAAATTATCTTCTAACTTATCCCCTGAAGAATGCACATTGGGCCTCCCTCTGATTTGTGTTGTGGCACATATGTGTAGCAATTGGGCCACTTAGCATGACTAAGAGCAATACCACAGCTAGGTAGTTCAAGCCTCCTGTCTGTTTGAAAGACCCTCAGAAAACTCAGAGTAGGACAGGATAAACTTTGTGAAGCAGGACATGAACTGCGTCTCCAGTGTGGTTCTTCTGATATGGTTTCTTTTCAGTCATTTGATCTTCCTCTCATCTCTAATGATTATAAAGAATTAAAACAAGGACCAGGTGCAGTGGCTCATGCCTGTAGTCCCAGCACTTTGGGAGGCCAAGGCAAGTGGATCACGAGGTCAAGAGATCAAGACCAGCCTGGCCAACATGGTGAAACCCCGTCTCTACTAAAAATACAAAAATTAGCTGGGGGTGGTGGCAGGCACCTGTGGTCCCAACTACTTGGGAGACTGAGGCAGGAGAATCGCTTGAACCCAGGAGGCAGAAGTTGCAATAAGCCAAGATCGCACCACTGCACTCTAGGCTGGGTGACAGAGCAAGATTCTGTCTCAAAAAAATAAAGAATGAAAACAAATCATCACTGTAGAAAGTCAAGAAAATGCAGATAGAGAAAAAGAAGAAAATAAAACTGGAGTATTTCCACAACCCAAGTTTCGAGTTGGCCCCCACCTCCCGTGCCATGGACTGACCAGCAGGGTTCTGGCAACCCTTGCCTATGGTGGCTGTGTCTTCATGTGAAAGAAACTGAACTTGGTGGTTTTTCCTGCCAGGTCAGAAGAGATTCTTTACATTGCATAAGCCAAGCCTCCTAAAACCTTGTCTGCTACTGCTTCGGCTGCCACTTCAGTCAAAATTCTTCAGCTTCATATTGTCTTGAAAATGTACGATTGTCTCTGACAAACAGGCTACTTGCTAGTTAGAAACTCTCATCAGTTTGACAAGCTACTTATCAACCAGACTGATCACAAGAACTGTCATCTGATCAATGAAGTCAGCAGTGCTTTTTTCTCGGTGTCATCAAAGCTGACGTTTTGAAGAGATGCTGGTGATAGTCATCTCATTCTACTCAATTTTTCAAAGGCAGAAACCAACCCAGGAGCAGCTGAGAGGATTGTTTAAACACAGAGCTTCCTCACTCAGAGTGGAGTGAGGAAGGAGAAGTCCCAGGAGAGGCGAGCAGTAAAGTCATGGAGTTGGGGGCCCTGGGGAGGGAAGACACCCAGAGAAAGTTATCTGCTGGTGGAGTTTGGAAGTCTAAGGAATTCTTACGTAGAAAAGACATCCATAGACTGTTGCGGTTATGTAGTTACTTACCTACGGTGTGAAGAGGTCACTTCTTTGGCGCTCTGGTTGGCCATGTTCATTGGAGAAGTCCAGCTCTCTCTGGCTTGCTGTCAAGGGCAGGTAGGAAGCCCTCCTAGTCCATGTGGTCAGGGCTTAGCTGGTCTGTTCATTCAGAAAGCCACTGAAAACAAGACCAATAGAAAAGGACACAGACATACTTTAAACATTTTGATTGAAAGCATAAATGTACCATCATTTTCTTTTTTCAATTCCTTTTTTCTGTTTTGAGACAGAGTCTTGCTCTGTTACCCAGGCTGGAGTGCAGTGGTGCAATCTTGGTTTACTGGAATCTTTGCCTCCCGGACTCAAGCAATCCTCCCACCTCAGCCCCCCGAGTAGCTGGGATTACAGGCGTGTACTACCAATCTGACTTAAGTTTTTAATTTTTGGAAGAGACAGGATTTTACCATGTTGGTCAGACAGGACTCAAACTCCTGGCCTCAAGTGATCCACCTGCCTCGGCCTCCCAAAGTACAGGGATTACAGGCATTAGCCACTGCACTTGGCCTGCTTTTTTTTTTTTTAAACAGAGCTAAAGGCCTTTCGTTTAAGTAGGGATTTGCTGAAGCTCACCTTTCTTGCATAAATCATATCCATAATCTTCCTCGTGTTCCCCAAAT